TAACTTTTCAGGACATTGTGCATTCAATTTTTCAGCTGCAGACACTATTTTGAGAACAGCAGCAACTGATTGCTGGACTTCACTTGCTCCATATCTTGCTAATGTGATGTGTTGTCCTCAATTTGATGCCAGTCTAGTGGTTCTTGTAGGGCAGGCTAGTATTCAATCACAAAGCCTCGCGCTGAACGCGACTCATGCTAGGCACTGCCTTTCGGATGTTGAACAGATTCTTGAAAGTCAAGGTGCTAGTGAGAAGCTTCTTGAGATTTGTTCTGTCGATCCCTCCAACCTTACAGAATCCTCTTGTCCTGTTATAGATGCTAACGAAGTCGAAAACAGTTTAAATACATCAGGTTTGGTGGCTGCTTGTGAAAAAATAGATCCAACTATTGAGTGTTGCAACCAAGTTTGCCAAAATGCTATATCTGCTGCAGCTGAAACTTTAGCTATCAGGCATAAAATTGTGACAAGCTTCAGTGGCTCCCCTATCTTGTCTGAGAAATCAACTCTTATAAGTGACTGTAAGAGCATTGTATTGCGATGGCTGGCCAGCAAATTTGATCCTTCTTCAGCTAATAGAATTATCAGAGCGCTTTCAAGCTGTGACATAAACAAATGTAAGTCAAATATTAAATTGGATGAAACTGTTGAGAACTTGGAAACTTTAGAATTTTGCCCCTTTAAAACACCTTATCAAATCATAAGGAACTAGAAGCTACATGTTGAATATCAAATCTGCGTAATTTGAAATTTGAACAATTGAACTCTGGCCTCGAAATTATTTTACCAAGGCCATGCATAAAGAGTTATCTTTAGTTTGGATACATATATTTTGAGATGATAAAATTAGGCATATTTTTGTTTTCTGAACTATTAGTTTGTTTGTGATGGTAGCCTGTCCATTGGTGTTTCCTGAAATAAAGGACATTACTAAAGAATGTGGAGAGGTAACGAGTAATCGGACATCCTGCTGCAATGCAATGGATAGTTACTTGTCGCGCTTGCAACAGCAGAGCTTCATTACAAATCTCCAAGCTTTAAATTGTGCTACATTGCTTGGAAAGAAGTTGCAAGAAGTTAATATTACTAGCAATGTTTTTGACCTTTGCCATGTAAACCTCAAGGATTTTTCTCTTCAAGGTCAGTTCCTTTGCTGTAGTTTTTCATCCTCAATGATTTTCTCTTGGTACTGATTATATTACTAACATTGTTTGGATGTTCAATTTGTTCTTACTGATGCTGAACCCTGGAATCCATTTGCCACGTACTGATGCACCAGTGGATGAAAAAGGTAATGAATTACTCTAAATTATAGGAATGTCTTTGCATCAACTAGATAGTTTATTTACATATTCCGAACAGCTTCTCTATATTGACCCCATGAAATGGCACTCCACTTAAAAGAGAAGACAAATGCAAGTAAATTGATTAGAAATATCTGATAGAATCTAGATTACTTGTTTAATCTTGATCCTCCAGATGTATGGGACATAATTCAGCAATCTGGAATTGGTTTTTTGACATATCATTCATTGCTTATATACACTATATTCTGGAGGCATGCATGTAGTTTAATAACACCGTTTACCCTATTGGATACAACATTGTTTAGCATATACAGTAAGACACTCTTAGCTTGGAAAAGCAACATGAATGAATTGATTTCTTTAGTATTTTCTTCTTCTTACAATCGAATGATATTTATGTCTTTAGTTTAGTGTCATTCATTCTCATGTTTGACTGATTTTTTTTTAAAATTTACTGTAGAATCGGGATGCCTGTTGCCCAGCTTGCCTACAGATTTAACATATGACCAGAGTTCAGGAATTGGCTTCATTTGTGATCTTAATGACAATGTGGCAGCTCCTTGGTCCTCAGCATATTCTGTTGCTGCTTCTACCTGCAACAAGAGTATGAGAAAACTTTAATAAAAAAGATAGAGAAATTAGCTTCCTTTACAATTGCAAAAAGATGTTACAACTTTCCTTTTCCTCTCCTTCTGTAAAACAAATGTCATTTAACTTTGATAACAACAAAATGATTTTGCAGCTGTTTCACTTCCAGAACTTCCCAAGGCAACATCCTCTCAGCTCAGTAAAGGTAGAATGTACAATATCTACAGCCTTGTATCTCTGAGTAAATTAGCTGTTACTACTACTATTACTACTACTACTTTTGTTTTTGGCTTAAGGCATCCAATATCCTGAAACACAATGGCTCGATTAATCCGGATTCACGCAGGGTAGAACTTGAATGTCATTAATCTGTTTTGTTCTTTTGGTGTCATAAATTTTCTAATGAAAAAAGTTATTTCCTTCAAATTTATATTTGACAATATTTAAAATGGGATAACTTGATGGCCCATAATCTGTTGGCAACATATAGTTATATCTAAATCTGCAAACTTTTATTGCATTTCAGGAATCAGCATCAAAGATATGGTGTATACCCTGATTTTTGTTTCATCAACGGTCATCCAGTTGCTCGTCTAAATCTTCTGGATTACTTGAATTTTCATCCAAGAACGATACTATACAGCATACATGTATACGACGCCGTTTGTATCTTCCGAAAGAAATCTTAGCACAAGGAGATTTGCAGCTCTTACAGGCATTATTCATCTATGATTCATCATTCTCTTTTTTCTTATATTGTTTGTCGCAATAAAAATATTGTACAGAGAAATCTTGGGTTGGCGATGATTGTATATACGTGGTGTATGTATTCACAGTTCAAATCTGTTACTTGTCTTGATCAGAAAACTAAACCTCTTTTTTTGGTTGACTGTTACGTTAACAGTAACAAAATTCTGGTTTATATACCAAAATTTAGAGAATGATTTGGCAATATTTACTAGCGCGTTGGCCATCTGCTCGTTATTCAGGCCACTTTTTAATCAGTTGAAGGAAAAATCATTACAACAGTAGCCAAAAGCCAATGCCATAATTTGGAAGTTAACTGAATAAAATGTCAACATTATTTCACGTACTTATTACTTACGATCAGAAAAAATACAACACACCCTTATTTCAGCATCTCATCACATCCCTATTAGATTCTACCAGCTTTAGGCATATAATTTTTTTAAGTAAATATTTTATATTGTCCAAAACAGAGTATCTCTGCACTCTCTAGCAGCTAGCAATACAAGTTGACAATTGACATACGGATTCAAGATATGTTGCATTAAGATATACTCTTTTAAGTTACTTTACAAGTTTCTTTTTTTTTTAATTACAGTCATTTGTCAGAGAGAATTACGAAGTTATTCTATTATAGATCAAGCAATGCATATATATCAATGATAAGTACAAAGTTAGTCACATTAAGAGAAAGTGAAAACGATTAGTACCACGTTACCTACATCCAAATAGAGCTGAACCCGTGACCCTAATTTTTCTGAAAAGAATCACTGCAAATAATATTCATCATTAGCTATAAAGAGTATTAACGTTAATTTATTATAAACCAAAAATAAACGCACATCAAATTTGGAAGACCTACTGCCCTTTCACGGGAATCCTGCACTGCCGTGCAGAGAATCTCCCACCTGCTCCTTTTGGCAACATTGAGCAAAATGTCTTTCATCTATTAAAAACACATATAACGAATCAAGCAAAAACAAGTATATAATGAATCGATGTCTTAAAATACAATTAATTTGTTGTTTTGACGTATTAAAGGAAATGGTACACTACATCAATTAGATTGACAAAATTTCCTTGATAAATTGAATTTTTAGATTTAGTATATATTGAATTATAGTAACAATTTAAGTTATGTACTCAATCATCAATTGCTGTTTCATAACATTGGAAAAGAGAGCTTTTATTACTAGTACATATTAATATGACCAACTAGGAATAATTTTGGATGGCATTCTGAACCATTTAGGGAAAAATAATTTTCTATAAAAAGAGTACCAGTAAGTTATGATCAATAGTGTATTAATAAATTACCCTTGACGTGGTTAAGTTCTAGTAAATTTATATCTTTTGGAAAAAAGCTATACTTATATAATTTATTTTAGTTCCTCATATTAATAACGATTTTGGTAAAAAAAACATTTAAATTATAAAAACAAAATCTTTTGGAAAACAACAATACCTACCTAATTTATTGTAAACGTTGTTATTTTAGTTCCTCATATCAATAAAGTTTTTGCTTGAAAACATTTAAATTATAAAATTAATATTTCAACATAATCTTTTTCTCCTCTTTGTGGAATTTGCTCTTTTACACAGTTAACACTTAACAAAAGAAGCTGAAATATATGTTACTTTACGGTTTATGCAAAAAGAGATTTGATAGGGAGTAAAGGCCGATTTATTATCCTTCCACAGGAGTTTGTAGCCATATATCTATTCAGTTTTCACCTTGTTAAATGATTTGAATATGGATTATCTTCATGTTGAGTTAACTTCCCATTCGGAAAATATAAAAATTCTGCACTCATAAGTATTTTTTTGGGTAATAAATGTAAATATTACCATTGACTTCCAAAACCATTACAAAATAAAGAGCACCTAAGTTCTAAATGTACGCTTTACGCCTCAACAAAATATAGTAATCCTCTAATTAAACTGTATATTTGGAATTAGCCTTCTACATTTTTGTGCTTTCTTTGATAAACTTAGCATCTCTACTCTTTCCTTAATCTCCCTTTTTATTAGTTGTATCGCCTCACTACTATGTACATTTACTTCACGAAACAACTTCCAATTCCTAGCTCTCCAAGTATGATATATTACTGCTGCATATGCGACTGCTACCAGTTCCTTCTTAAACACTTTCCGGTGTTTCTTTTTTATAGATTCATGATCTTTGCGTCAGCAACTTGTATTGTTATCCCCATTCAAGGGGAGGATTCCAGCTACTCTTTATGCAATGCTCAGGTGTTGGAAACCCATGCACACCTATTCAAGGAGTGTGATTGGAGTAAGTCACCCATAAGTATTAAATAAGATCAAATTTAATAAACTGACATGAGTGTAAGTAAATTTATCCTTTTTTCTTTTTTGAATTGCCAAGTAACTTTTACTGTACAATTATTATTGACATTGTCTTAGAAATATTTCCTATACAAATTATTCCATTAGTTGAAAAGATGCAACTGTGACAGCTGGTTGTTTTGGTATGTAAAATTTCCTACATCTCCAAATCCAATCGTCTATAAATTAAACACACACACACCCATTCTAATCAACTTCCACAAGTTCGCTCTTTTTCTCACTTTACATTCTCCACTCCATAGCTCCAGCTGCTGCCACCAGCCCACTACTATGACTTCCTCTAAGAACGAAGTTCACCAACCATTTCTAGAAAACAACGGGGCATCAGCTTTATCACCGTCTACAGAGCAAAACCATGAATCCAGTAGTGAGCTAGAGACGGTACTCTTGGACACTTCATTACCTCCCTGGAGTCGCCTGCGACTTGCCACGTGGATCGAAACGAAACTCCTCTTCTTCCTTGCTGCTCCTGCTGTAATGGTTTACATGATTAACTATCTTATGTCCATGTCTACGCAAATCTTCTCTGGTCACCTTGGTAATCTTGAACTTGCAGCTGCTTCTCTTGGTAACACTGGCATTCAAATCTTCGCCTATGGCCTCTTGGTATGACCCATAACGTTTCTTGTCTATGGTTTGCTTTTCTATAGTTCTTCTTATTAGAGGCGGATTCAGGATATGGATTCAGTATTTGACCGAATCTGTAACCTTCATTAGCAGATTCATTTTCTGTGCTTTTCCTAATCAAACTAGAAGTTACCGAGGAAGCATGCATAACACTAAATAGGGAGCCGCCTTTTACACCAGCTAGGCCTCAGATGTGAAATGGGTGCGTTTGTAATTTCATACATGAAGATTACAAACTCATCCATCTCCTTACCATTCAGTGGGGGTCTTCATTCTCTTTCTCTTACTTTCCCTACTTCTAGAAAAAGTTTTTGTTTTTATCTTTGACTTATTGTATTTTTTAAAATCACGGGTTCATATATGATATTTATTGCAATTTTTAGTAGATTTTTGTATATGAATTCATGCACCGCATCAAAAAGTTATGAATTCAGTTGACCTCTGTATTAGAAGGCTATGTGTATTTCGTGGAAGTATATCCTTTTTTTTAACCTTATTAGTCCTATGGGCTATGTATAGTTAGTGCTCTATTTAAATATTTTAATTTTGTTTGTTATTTTTTGAACAGTTGGGGATGGGAAGCGCAGTTGAAACACTATGTGGTCAGGCATATGGAGCAAGGAAATACGATATGTTAGGAGTATATCTTCAAAGATCAACAATTCTTCTCACTCTAACAGGGGTGTTACTAACTTTAGTCTACGTTTTCTGCAAACCAATTCTAATATTTCTAGGCGAATCACCAGAAATTGCATCAGCAGCAGCCTTATTTGTATATGGTTTAATACCACAAATTTTCGCCTACGCTGTGAATTTCCCAATCCAGAAATTCCTTCAAGCGCAGAGCATTGTGTTACCAAGTGCCTACATTTCTGCTGCGACTTTGGTGTTGCATTTAGTGATCAGTTGGGTTGCAGTTTTCAAGATTGGGCTCGGGTTATTAGGGGCGTCGTTAGTATTGAGTTTGTCGTGGTGGATCATAGTGATAGCTCAATTTGTATATATTTTGAAGAGCGAGAAATGTAAGCAAACTTGGAATGGGTTCAGTTTGAAGGCATTTTCTGGGTTGTACGGATTCTTCAAGTTATCAGCAGCTTCAGCGGTGATGCTATGCTTAGAGACATGGTATTTTCAGGTTCTTGTTCTTTTAGCTGGTCTTCTTGAAAATCCAGAATTAGCTTTGGATTCACTTTCTATTTGGTAAGACAAATATTTCCTACGTAATTAATAATATTCCCACATCACCCGATATATCTCGTTGTTGAGCATTAATTGTTGTGCTATAATGACTGTTTGAGTGTGGACAAAGGTCTTTGTTTTTTTTTTCATTGATTTAAATTTAATTGGAGGGTTTTGGTTCTCATTGGCCAAACTTCTTTACTCAAAAGTATTTTTTTTTTCTACTAAACTTTTAAAAGGAAAAAAATATCTTTGTGTAGAAGCAGACAAAATAACTTCTTCCCAACAACACTTATTTAAAAAATATTTTCGAGAAAAATATATTTTAAAGTAATTTTAAAAATTTGGTCAAACACTAATTGCTTAATTAATCAAATATAAATTATTTCTTGTTAAAAGTACTTTTTTAAAAGTACCTATCAAAATAAATTAATTTTAGAAGCTTTCACAAATATGTTATTAGACACCGCGGTAAGCCAAAATTTCTAGCCGTAACCACAAAAAACAGTTACTCCTAAAATATTGGAAAATTTTATTTTGTGTTTCATACAACTGACACTAGTTGTATGAGACAACTTTTTTGTCTCACATTTTTATGGACTAGATTTCTGTAGACCCAGAAGTGTAAAATTGAGATCTACAAATTTAGGAGACAAAAAAAAGTTTCATACAACTAGTTTAAATTGTACGAGACACAAAATAAAACTCTCTTTTTGTATGGAAAGCTGTGCTCTGTCAGTCGTCTTTCTTTATTTTATTATAGTTTTGTTTTACTTATCCTAGTGGACAAACTTTTGAGGTCTGCGTCTATGTTGTAGTAATAGACAAAATGGCTGACATTAATTCTGTGTTGTAGTAATAAAGAAAGATGGCTGACACTTTTGACGGTATTTCACATTTTCTATATTCTAGTGATAGAGAAAATTTGTCTCGGTCTATCTATATTCTAACGGAGAAAAGGGCTATTACATTGCAGTTTATCTATATTCTAATAGTAGTGAAGAATGGCTGATATATTGAGAGTCTATAATGTATAGTATAATAATATAATAGAGAGCAATGGTTGATACAGTAACTGCTTTCCATGCAATGGAAAAACTCCAATCTTTTTTCTCTGTAAATCCTCAGTACTGGAGTAAACAGAAAAACAAAATTATCATTGTGGCTAAAACTTAAGTAAATCGTAGTCTTTTACATTAAAACAGTAGTAATTGCCACAACTACAAAGTTGATATACTCCACATTTTGAGCCCACACAAAAGCCAAAAACATGCCTTTTTAAAAGACCTTTACTACCCAGAACACTATAGGCTGCAGCATAATGTAATACAAAGCAGGCAGCCCCATGTCACTGCAATTTTTGGCGTATTGTTAAAAAAGCACACACCTTTTTGGACTCTGTGTATTCTGTTGAAAAATTTCAAGTATATTTTATTCTCTCTCTTTCTTATCACCTTTGGTTTAACTTATCTTTGACAGAAACTTCAGATCAATGATTTGATCTCAATTTATAGTGCTTTTGTATAAGATTTTGAATATCCAAACTTTACTTTTAAAATATAAACTAACTTAATATTCTATTCAGCTTTTGAACTGGTTAAATTGACGCTCAATGAACAAATTTTCTTTATACAAATTGGTAAGAAGGAAATATATATTTGGAGAGACTAACAAATAGGAGTAATAAAGTTTGAAATATTTTAGACATATAATACTGTATATGGTACATCTATAATTTATAAGTTTTTTAATTCTATTCTTAAAAAGTTAGATGAACCAATATGTGAAACCACCGTAGATATTAGAGATAGTTTGAGTATCATAAATCATAGTAATAGATTATGCTTTGGGACATGAATGTTTTGTTAAAAGAGGTAAAAATTTCAAAAGTCTACCTATTTCCAACTTATTTAGTCATTTGCAACATGAGTCTGGAAGTAATGGCACATGTACGTATATTTGTTGCTGTTGTTAGAAAAATTCACTTTCGTGACAATTTTCAATTAGCTAACCCTGTTGTTTTTTTCCTTTATTTTGGTGGAAAACAACAAAAGCATGACAATTTCTGGTTGGGTTTTCATGATATCAGTTGGACTCAATGCAGCAGCAAGGTCAGTTTTAGTTTTCAATCATTTAAAGTCTATAAAAATGCTAAAACCATAGTTTATTGACATATTTAAATGTTAAATGATGATGAACAGTGTGAGAGTGAGCAATGAATTAGGGGCAGGGCATCCCAAATCAGCAGCATTTTCTGTTATAGTAGTCACAGCATGCGCTTGTATTATCTCTGTGATTGCTGCAATCACTATTCTTGAATTTCGTCACGTCATTAGCTATGCCTTCACTGGAGGAGAAGTTGTGGCTGAAGCTGTCTCAGATCTCTGTCCTCTGCTTGCTCTCACCCTTCTACTTAATGGAATTCAGCCTGTCTTATCTGGTAAAAGAGTTTCATTAAGCTTCTTACTCTGTAAATTCTTGAATATAGTATATTAATGCGCTACTAAAAAAAAGAAAAATATATTAAGTGGGAGTTGATCTATTTGCATCATTCCGCCTTCTTGGAGCATGAGTGCCAACAGTTAATACCATTTTAAAAAAAATATGTATATAAAATATCTAATTTTACGGAGAAACCATGGGTTCACGAAGATTTTGAACTTCCTTGACTACTAAGCTATGCTTTTGGGTTGTGTCAAAGAGATTCAAAACATAATATATAGAGGTAAAAGATAGATTTTGCCTTATATACAGTGTAATTTTTCGGCGTGAACCCCTTTTTGCCCCTTAAATCCGCCCATGTTCACGTGCCCCATAATCTTCCCTATAAATCCTCCCCTGTATTAGATTAGTGGGCGTTTGGACATAAGAATTGTAAAATTTCAAACTGGGTGAAAGTTAGAGTTGTGTTTGAAAGTTAGAGTTGTGTTTGGACATGAGTATAATTTTAGATTGTTTTGAAGTTTTATGAGTGATCTGAGTGAAAATTTTGAAAAACATCTTTTGGAGGTTTTCGAAATTTTTGAAAAATTTCAAAACAAAAATTGAAAATTTTATGGCCAAATATTAATTTCGAAAAAAAAAGTGAAAAAAGTCTTATGTCCAAACGGTCTCTTAAATTACTTTTGTTTACAACATGATTGACATTAATTTTGTTCTGGTGCTACATATTAGATTAAAGTTTATGTATTTATGAATGTTATATAGGTGTGGCTGTTGGGTGTGGATGGCAAACGTTTGTGGCTTATGTTAACGTGGGCTGCTATTATATTGTGGGAGTCCCGTTGGGTTCTCTTCTTGGATTTTACTTCAAATTGGGTGGTAATTTTCAACACTACAACAACAACAACAACAGTTTCCAAATAGAACCCCGGCATCCTTCCCTCCAAGAACTTCCCACCTTGCTCTTGGGGAGACTCGAACTTACAACCTCTTGGTTGGAAGTGGGGGTTGCTTACCATCAGAGCAACCCCTCTTGTCATAAATTTGCTAGTCCATTCTAATAATGATATTTTTATTTGTGTATACAGGGTATCTGGTCAGGAATGATGGGCGGTACACTTATGCAAACAATTATTTTGGTATGGGTCACCTTTCGAACTGATTGGAACAAAGAGGTAAACCTCTCTTACATTTTTCCTTTTTCTTTTTCCTTGTGGCGTTTTGTAAACGTATTATCTTGATAGAAGCAGATTCCATAGCCACTACTTAGTCAAAAGTTTTCTGCTTTCTTGTATTTTTGTGTACGTCTAGACTCTTAGATGATGTTTGTATAAATGCTAGACCAACTTTCGTGGAGCTGTTTATTCAGTCAGAATCGAATTTAGGATTTAATGTTTTATGGGTTGGTGCAACGACCTCGAGTAAATTTTCAATAGTAGTTGAGTTCACGTTCAAACATTTATAAATTTTTAGTAAATTTTTCCAGCACATTTACACTGTTTGGACAAAATTTACTGGGTTCACGTGAACCCGTATGTGGGGAGGTGGATCCGCCCCTGTATCCAGCATTACTGAAGGGAGCCCTGAAGCAACGGTAAAGTTGTCTCGGAGTGATTTATAGGTCACAGGTTTGAGCCGTGGAATCAGTCACTCATGCTTGCAACAGAGTAGGTTGTCTACATTACATGCTAGCCTTTCCTCGAACCTTACGCGGGATACTTTGTGCACGGGGCTGCCTTCTTTTTATTTTTATTTTTATTTTTTATCCTTCATTACATTTCCCAAATGCGTTTTATCAGTGAAATGCAACTTCATTTGTTTTTCATGTAGAGAAGTATATGTAGATAGAGAATAATTTGAATTATGAGGATACCTTGAGTTTGACACCAAATTTGGAAACTTCTCCCTATATGGGCAGTCATTAGCGGTGAATGAAAGGGAACTTGACTAAAGGGTATTTAGTAAATAGTCTTTTTTTTTTTGGTCATGAAAGACAAACATTGCATTAAACAGTAATGGCAAGAAAGCAAATACCATTGGTAAGTATGGAACATAAGTATTCTTTTCATTGAAATAATTGTATGTGAGTATATTTCATCAATTGCAGGTTGAAGCAGCTCAAGGGAGGTTGAATAAGTGGGAAGACAATAAAGAACAAGTTCCAAAGGAGTAGGAGAAGCTTTAATGTAAGGTTACATTTGCAAAAAAAAGTGACCAAATAGGAGACATTTTTTCAATGATTATCATGTTTTAAATTTGCCACGAGAAATTGTTAAATGACTTAAGTCGTAGATGATAGTTATCTCAATTGGCTAAACCATTTCAAAATGAAATGTTCCTTCTACAACTCCTTTTAATTTTATTTTATTTTTCGTTAAAAGAGAAATGCCTCATTAATTTAACGCCCAAAAGAAAACCCAGCTTGCTCTAAATCTAGGGCCGTGCATAATTTGGTAAATACCGAATTACCATGCCAAAATCGAAAATTTTGATATTTGATATACCGTATTTTGGTATTTGGTTTAAGTTTTAAAAAAAATTGGTATTAGGTATGGTATTTGATATTTTAAAATAAAATACCGAAATACCGATACCGTACCGAAATATATATTATATTACATAAAACACATATTATCAATTATAACATAAATATAAAAAATCTAAAATTTTAATTTTCCTTTATTCTCTAAGTTCATCAATTAACTCTAAACAAGTAACATGATATTTTTAATGACCAAATATTCTTTTAAGTACAATTTTCTCTATTTGGGTCAATATTTGCTAGTTTAGGATAAAATTTTTGTCAACAAACATTTCCAGTTTTGTATTTTTGAGTACTTTAATTAAGAATATTTGAGTCTATGGCTCTATGCACTAGTTAGTATTCAAATCGAATAAACCGAAATTACCGAACCGAATAAACCGAAACCGAAAGGAGAAAAATCGAACCATACCGAATTTAATTAGGTACGGTATTGGTATAGGATTTTAAGAAACCGAATACCGAATATACCGAACCGAAATGTCTAAATGTCATACCGTACCGACCGACGGACACCCCTATCTAAATCAATTGTTGTATATGTATACAATTACCAATCTATATTTATATTATATTATATTATATCATATTATACTAAAAGTGGGAAGCTCCTACCTCCAAAGTTAAATTACCATTTTACCCTACATTAAATTAATATCTAATTAATTAATTAGGACTACTAAGTCTAATTAAAGTTGAAATATGAACATGTCAATCGAATTTACTAAAATGTAAATTTACATTTCAATATATAATAAATTGTATAGTACATATATTAAATGTAAAATGTGAACAGACGGTTTTGATTTGAAAAATTGACGAATATATTTCAAAAGTTAATGTCATTTATTGTAATCTATTGAATTTAGAATAACTTTCATCTTCCATTATCTATGTGATTAATATCAGTCCTTAAAATGTGCATTGAATAGTTAACTCTTTCATCTTCTAACAATAATTACAAATTTATGAATATCAGCTTTTTCACTCATCTATTTACTTATTTAGTAAAAATTGTATGGGGTAACCACTATTTAAAGTGGTATTTACTTTTTATCCAGCATTTTTAGTGTTGAGCAAAAATAGCTACTAGTTTATTAAAATTAATATGAAAGGACGTTGTTACCCTTTCCTTCCCAAATGGAAGTACATATATCATAGGTTGGATAGATACACCATTTTCAGATTCTCTTTCTGGGCTATTCTCTGTGCATATTCTTCTTCCATTCCCAACCTCCATTTTCTTTCTTTTTCTTTATCGTCTTCTTCCTGTATATTTTGCTTTGTCTTTTGTTAGATGAAAAGTGACTCTTTTTTATGATCTCAGAAAAGCTATGCCAGAGTATGTAGTTAATGGAGAATGAGAGATTGAGTCAAAAGAAAATACAAGGACTACTCCTGAACACTGTATATAAGCAATAGAAATTCATTGTATTTTTTTTCAACTGAGTCTACTGCTGCTACTACTATACCTAATGTGCCTTGATATCCTATGGAGAGGGAATTAGGTGTTAAGTCACCTTTTTAATTCTCCTTCTCTTTTGACTTTTACCTGCTATAGTTTTTAAATTGGGTGAACTTTTAGTCAAAATGGAAGAAAAAAAGTGAATTTATCAGAAAAGGATAAAATATTTAAAATATCTGTATTTAAGTTCAAAAGTTAAAGGACACTTGGTCCTTAACTTCGAGTTTCAATTTCAAAAGTTAAGGACACTTGGGCCTGAACTTAGACTAACAAGCTCAAAAGTTAAGGACAATAGGTCCTGAACTTACAGTTACAAGTTCAAAAGGTAAGGACAATATGTCCTGAACTTAGGCTAAGAAGCCCAAAAGTTAAGGACAATAGGTCCTGAACTTACAGTTACAAGTTCAAAAGGTAAGGACAATATGTCCTGAACTTAGGCTAAGAAGCCCAAAAGTTAAGGACAATAGGTCCTGAACTTAAACTAACAAGCTCAAAAGTTAAGGGCACTTGGTCCTGAACTTACAGTTACAAGTTCAAAAGTTAAAGACACTTGATCTTGAACTTAGACTAACAAGCTCAAAAGTTAAGGACAATAGGTCCTGAACTTAGTCTTACAAGTTCAAAAGTTAAGGACAAGTAGTCCTTAACTTAGAGTTACAAGCACAAAACTTAAGGGCAGGTGGTCCTGAACTTCAAGTTCCAAGTTCAAAAGTTAAGGACATGTAGCCCTTAAGTCCTGAACTTAGAGTTCCAAGTTCAAAAATTAAGGACATGTAGTCCTGAAGTCCTGCACTTAGAGTTGCAAGTTCAAAAGTTAAGGACACTTGGTCCTGAACTTTATGAGCAGAAGGGTGTTTTCATCTGGGCAGGTAAAGTTTATTAAAGCAGTGGCTAAAGACTAATGACATTTTAAACAGTGGCTTAAAAGTAAATACATGTGTTATTAGTGGCTAACCATGCACTTCCCCCTACTTATTTATTAGTTTTTCCAGCATATCATCTACAATTTGGCTTCGACTATGAACGTTGGGCTTCATTCCAATCGGTTCCTACTCGGTAATTTTACCTTTTTATCTCTCTTTCTGTTTGGATTACTATCTTCAATATACGCGCGCGCGCGCGCGCACACACACACACACACACATATAT